TCTGTTTTATGTGAAAGCATTAGAGAAAAAGACTGGAAATAATATTGCCAAAGAAAAGGAAGCATTACGATTAATTTTTATTAACTTGTTTGTACTCTTATTCATGTTATCTATAATAAATATTTCTATAACTTTAAAATCTAGTAATGATTTTTAAAGGTATCTTTTCATTCTATTTCCCCTTTCACCCAAATAATGTACCTTTTAACCTGTGAGCATTGTTCAGTATATCAGACTCTTTCAAATGGTATAGCCAATTTTGCCTCCTTTGATTGAATCATTATTCAACTAGCAGGCATAATCTAAGATGCTAAACTGGGCTGCACTTTGCATAAGAAAATTCAAGTCAGCTCACTTTTCCTTTTCTCTTTGCTTCTTACTACCTATTTTTTAAAAGGGCTTGTAATACAGCAAAACAAATGCAGCCCTCCCAGGAAAATGAGACTCCTGCAGGACATTTTAATAGCTGCAGTGATGAAGAGAGGACAACTGAGGCATGGCAGTAAGTGTGAATTCGGGAGGAGTAAACTGTGTATGCAGCAAGCGGGCTTTGCCTCTGGAGAAGTGGAAAGATGGGCAAGGAATGCCATGGAAGCTCAGTGGAGACGGAAAAAAAGAATCAAGGAGAACAAGTGAACAAATACACAAACACCTAAATATGGAATGCTTGCTTACTTCAGAAGAGCATTTGATCCTTAGTACCTATGATGTCCTACCTTTCTCCTCAATGTTTTATATTCATAGATGGAGAAGATTCAGACAGTTCGCATCTACTAGTGTTTAAAATTTGGTGAAGGAAATAAGATGTGCAACAGAGAGTTATAACATGTAAATTTAAAGAAAATACCTTAAAAAGTTTTATTTTTTAATTTTTAAATAAATTGTTGATTGATGTTTATAGTAGAAAAGGAAGAAGTTAGCAAAAGTAAATCTTGAAGGAAAGATAGGTATATCAGTCACTTTTCCATTACTGTGACAAAGAACTAAAATAAATCCACTTTGTGGGGGAAATGTTTGCTTTGGCTCATAATCTCAGACCAGGGTTGGTTGGTTCTGTGGATTCTAGACCTGTGGCAAGCACATCATGACAGGAGTTTGTAGTGGAGCAAAGCTACTCACCTGATTGTCAGGAAGCAAGCAGAGATGGGGAGAGAGGCATAGTCCCAATATCCCCCTCATAGAGTGGCCTACTTCCTCCTAGAAGACCCCAATCCCTAAGTGTTTCACCTCCTCCCAATAGCATCACTGACTGGTGACCACACCTGTAGCATATGGTTCTTTGGAGGACATTTACAATCCAAACTACAAGAACAGGGTTATCAATTACAGAAATGTACTTGGACTTATCCATATGAAGAAATAATGAATCAGAAAAGAGTAACATCACCTTTGCAGAGCAGTGAATTTCATGGTTTAGCTAGATTGAAAATTGGTTAAAGTTTTGGTTAAATTATGGTGTGTTGGTTACTTTTCTCTCATTGCTGAGACAAAATACCTGGTACTCAAAATCAAGGAAGGAAAGGTTTATGTAGCTCACAGTTTGTGGAGGTTTCCATCCATAATCAGCTGGGTTAAAAGCAGAGCAGGTTATGGCAAAGGATAACAGTTCATGGTGGCAGAAGACAGGAAAAGTAACAAAAGGGAAAAGGGAAGAGTGCAGAAAGAAGACTCTGACACTCATATTGTATGTAGACTACCCACTCTAAGGTGAATATAGCACTCACACTCATAACCTCAGCATTGGAACATGACTTAACCACAAATCTAAAAGCCCACTCTCATGAGTACATGAAGCTTTAGGGGGACATTCAGACACAAATCATAGCAGATGGAAACTAAATATTTAACCCGTAAGGGCCAAGGCCTCTGCTACAAATGAGGTCCTTTGATTTCTGTCACTATAGTGTAAAAACTATTGATAATATGAAAATAAATGAGCATGTTTTTCCCATCAACTTTATTTATTGACACTAATTTTTGAATTTTTTTGTAATTTTCACATATCAAAACTTTCTTCTTTTGACTTTATTCCCTTAACTATTTAAAAATGTGAAAGCCTTCTTAGCTCAGTTTTCACAAAACCTAGAAGCCAGTCACACTCCGCTAATGTTAGAGCCAGAGGAATAATAAATAATTCAGTTCTTTTGTTTTGCATAATCATCTCCCAAGTGATCACTGAAATTGTTGGACAGCAGTAAAGGGCAGATCATTTAAAAAGAGAATCATTTCTTTTAATAATTATTTATTTATTATTAGAATATAGACATTCAAGTAATGAATTCTTTCATCATCTTATAATTTTGCAAACGTGCTCCTTCAGTTACCCTTACTTTCTCTTTCTGTGTCAGGGAAAATTGTAGTACACAAAAGCTGAATTTCAATAATGTCAGTAATCACAGAAGACAGATCGAGGATGTAAGGAACCTGCAGAAAAGCCAATTCAGAAACTCAGTTATCATTTTCATTTGCCTTTGGAAAGTGCTTTTCAACTTATGTGTGTACATGAGTGTGCCTGCTATTCCCAGAATTTACTTCCAACAAAGCAAATGAAACCATGCTACGAAGGTCTGACTCAGTTGGAGTTGGAAAGCTACCCAGTTTCCTCATCTTGCCTTTTATTCTGCTCTTTTCTGTGCTGTATGTGGATGTTTCCTGTTTCAGACCAACTCAAATGCTTACCTAACCCAAGAAACCTTCCCTGAGTTCTCCCTTCAGACTCTAGGGAGTCATGTATGTCTTTGGTCTCCTTAAGTCTTTGCAGATGGAGTACTACTAAAGGGAGCCCAGAATTCTAACAAGCAGCATATTTGATAATCATCCCTTGACAAGCAAGCTCATCTTATAATGGGCACCTGACAACAAGAGATATCTATTAGTAAATATGTGTCATGTCTTTAAATTTCTTTACAGCAGGGGCAGCCTCTGTGTATACTGCTTCCTTAACATTTACATGTAACTGAAAAGTTGAATCTTTTGGAAGGTTCAGATTTTTCTGCAGTTGTGTATCAGGTTGCAGAATGTCAAATGATAACAGTAGCTAACAGTCTGAAATAGTGATTATCTATCTACCTGATGTAGGTCCTATTGTTACTATTATTATTATCATCTAATTATTATCAATTGATTCTATAGTGGCTATTATTATTGTTATCATCATCATCATCCCCACTTTACTGATAAGGAAACCAAGATGAAGAAAGGTCAAGATAGCTTCAAGGTCACTCAGCTAGTACAGGATAACACCAACACTGAAATCTATTCCTACTTTCTTAAGTCTCCATGCTTTTAAAAATGGAAACCTAAAACAAATCACCCCCAATACAACAAAAAGGATCAAATCTCGAAGATGCCCCTAAAATTCAGAGTTCTACAATATAGTGCTCCTCTAAGATCTCCTGCTTACAAATACTCTTTGGAGTAAAAGAAAATAGTAATTTCTGGTCAGTAAAATATTCCGATTGAGCTTTCATGCATACATGCATACATGAGGAACCTCCAGGTTCCTCAGGATTGCTGTTTCTTTAATTCCTCATGGCTGCCTTTCCTGTTTTCCGTACTTTGGTTTTTATAAATGTACCTCCTTCTTTATCACTCAGCAATCTGACTTCAGGTGAGCTAACCTGACCATATGACCACCTCAACATTTTTTAACCCAGTAAGACCCATTGCCAGGAGAGTAATTCTCAGACTTTCAGGATGTGGACCACAGCCTGTATCTTATTATCCTGCATCTCAGTCTCTAGTTCCATCAGGCTTTTGGAGGAACAGAGCTCTTCGTCACCAATCTGTTTTCTGCCTTATCAGGACTGACTAGCTATCTTGTTCAGGTTAAATAACCATTAAAAGCCATGTTAAAGAGAGAGATACATGGGTGCTAAGCTTTCTCAGTTTTCACTGGTATGTAAACCCAACCTTGTCCTGCTAAGATACAGACAAAGAGTTGTGGTGAAAGAATTTCTCTGTGTTGTTCAAAGTCTGAGAACTGGCACGAATGTTTCCATAGGTTGGTTCCCAACAATCCTGTTTGTAAATATCTGAGTCACTTACTGGCATTGCCAAGCATATTTCTGGCCCAGGAAATCTTCCTCCTTTCTGACCTAAGGGAAAATGTAGTCTGCATGCACTTGAGTGACCTTCACACTGTACCTCCTTCTGAAGTGCAGAGTCAGTGAGGTCATAGCTGTCTCAGCTGACTGGCAATGGGCTGCCTGCAAGATGCCAGAAGCGACCTATGTAGATTCCCAGGGTGGAACCATAAGAACAAACCAGTGTCAATGGTTAACCCAGGCTCTTGTTGTCCAGGACTTTTCTTTCCTTTATTATTAACTAAAGAACATTCTTGCCATTGCCCAGCTGAGAACACCCAGCTCATAGATTCTCGAAGGGGAAAGTGAATAAAGGTAAGTACTGTTCTGTTTTTGCTGTTGACAAAGTTCTTTTGTCTATGGTTTGTTCTTGCTGGCCTCTGTTTGGGGAAAAACAGAGAAACCTCTATGTACAGCAAGAAGACATCAATGTCAAATTAAATGCAATTAAATAATTTAATTTTCTATCTAAGTGTTTTAAGTCAAAGAGTGTGTCAAATTCCTTAATTTATTCTGAGGCTTTGGGTAAAAACATCTCATGACTTTTACAGGGTCTGCTAAGTAGATCTTATGTGCCATTATACACATAGATATTTCAGTGTGGCTTTATCATACTCATACCATATGGGTACACTATGCTCACCTTCAAAACCAGCTTGTTAGATGATACATATGTATGTGCCTGTGCATATGGGTATGTGTATGTCTGTATGTACGAGTGTATTTACACTTATGAACATGTAACTATGAGCATTGACATGTATTTATACCCCCACAAAGAAAAATAAGTTGACTCTTTCCTAGAGTCATCTGCATTAATGTGAGAGGAAATAAAACATCCATTTCTCAAGACTTATTTTAACAAGAATTGAAGTAAGGAATTTTCACCTGCTATTTTCACCTTAACTTCTCTAAAGCTTCTTTTTTTTTCTTTTTTTTTTTTTTTTTTGGTAAGACCTTAGAACTTTTATCCTTCTGAATTTATTCAGGAAGGCATAGGCATATAAATCTTTGCTCTGTGAAGACTTTGAATTGTCTATTATGTGATCAAATTGTTTCTACTGTTTGTGGCTCTAAGTGGTGCATAAGACGGATGAATTTTGATCTTGTACATTAAGTCATATCTGGTTATATGGACTGAAAGGTCTTGAGTGAAACAGAAATACTAGGTTATAGTATAGTATAGTATAGTATAGTATAGTATAGTAAAGTATAGTGTAGTATAGTATAGAATTCTACTCTGACAGCCTCATAATGAAGAAAAGAATATATTAACATATCTGTATTAGGGTACTATGGAGCAAAGTAGACCAGCCTTTCTCTGTGCTTGATTTTAACCAATAAAGAAACATGAAGTATCTTAACCATGGTTGCTTATAGAATATATTTAAGAAGTTTCTGAAATCAAACTAAGAAGAAGTTTAAAAATGACCAGAGTCCAGAGTTCATTTCAAACCAGGAAAGAAGAGTATGGTGTGGGAGGAGCAGACAGAGACCTGGACTAATGGATGAATGTAATCTTGTTTAATTTTAGAATATGAAAATGCTGGTAACTGTAAAACGTTAGTAGCATAGCAAATAAGACCACAACAGAACAGCTGGAATGGGGGAAAGGATAAAAGAAAGAAGGAGAAAAAATGTAGGTATGATAGCTAAGGTAATTGTACTACTAATTCTAGTAGTTCATAGAAAATAGTGCTTGAATTGTTTGATCAATTTTGCATGCCTATATTTGGTAATCTGAGCAATTATGTTGAAAATAATAGTGTTTGATATAATAACCATTGTTAATTTCCTACCATATGGTTTTGAATACACCATTTTTAAAAAATTCTCTTTAAAATAAAAATGATAAAAACAAGATCATAGTATAATGTGAAAGTGAAACACTAGAGTGGCAGTGGCTTTTGACATGCTATGTTAATTTTTCTAAGTAAACATTTTGACTTGAGAGGGAAGAATTTTCAAAGATATTATTCAAAAATACTTTCTATGATACATAATGTTTTGATTATTGTTACTCTCCTACTTGCCTGTTTTGTAGCTTTTTTCCTGTTATTTCTTACTATTTTCTGCTTAAAATTTTTAAAAAATTAGGAATAATGTATGAGAAATTTTGTTATTGCAAGCATCACATAGACTGTAAAAATTTGGAAACTAAAGAGAGGTTTAAGCATTTAAGTGCTGTGTTCTGGATGCATAAATACTATATTTGTTGGGTCTTTCTTGTAAAGAAGTTTTTGTAAATCAAGCTTAATTGTTCCTCTTTCTGGCTGTGTAACTGAGAGAGGATCACATGATGTTTCTGTTGAATTTCAGAATGCACGCGTTTGCTTTCCACTCCCACCAACACCAGAGCTCTAATACAAAGATCTAAGCAGCAATGCATTGATCCAGAGTGCAAAGAGGAAGGGTTCCCCAAAGCCCTCTCATTGTTATCCTTGTACACAGGCCCTAGTTGGACCACTAACATTCTGTGCCCTGTCACCAAAGTTTTCTCCATAGATACTGACTATGGAGAGCACTTAATTATTATTAAGCACTATGGAAAGCACTTATTATTGTGAAGAATAATACCATTTTTTGCTTAAATAAAAAGAAACTCTGTGATTCTGAGTTTTTTTCTTATAAAACTTTCAAGGTTTTGATCACTGTAAGACCCTGAAATCAAGAGAATGGGTTATCTGAACCATTCCCTGATTTGTTTGGTACTGCATTGAGCAACACTTATTTTTCACTATTTTATTCATAGATTGATTCTTTCAAAAAACATCTATTAAATACAAAACATTCTTAAATCCAGAGAGTTTAGTGGGAGACTATCTATTACATTAAAACCATTTTCTTGAAGAAATTATAGCTGGTGGAGGAAAATCAGCTTATTTATCATAGAATAATGTACTACTATTTCATGTATTGAATAAATACTTATAAATTGGCTACTTTGTGCCAGGCATTGAATAGATATTAAAGGATATACTAAAGTGAAGCAAAAGATTAAAGAAGTCTTTCTTTCATGAATCTTCTACTTTAGTAGAAGTTTACTTTCATAAAATAAATAGCATGCCAATTGTTAACAAGAAATATGAGCAAAAAAAAAGAATGGGTGAAATGATCATGTGGAAAGAGGCAAATAGTGAGAACGCTGCATTGATTATTTATTGCTGTGTGACAAATGACTTTAAAACTTAATGATTTAGAAGAAAAAACATTTTTTGTGCACATTTTTATGGGTCAGGATTCAGGTTTATTTGGGTCATCTGGGTCAAAGCCTTCTCTGTGCTGCAATCAGTGTTCCCAGGAGCTATGGTGTCTCTAGTCTCAGCTGTGCTCAGTCGTGGAGAAGTATCTTTTGGTCACTTACTTGATTGGGAAGGATACGATTCCTTCCTAGGAAGTTGGATGTCTGTCCCTGTTTTCCACTGATTGTTAGAGTGCCTTCCCCAGCTCCTTGCCAAATAGACTATCCCCCAAACAACTACAACACAGAGGCTAGTTTCCATTACAGCAAGTGAGATGTAGGCCAGCAGCCAGAGTCCTTTGCTAATCTAATGTCAAAAGTGACCTCTCCTTTTGGCAGTATTCTGCTAATTAGAAGGGAGTCGTTTAATGGAGATCACACTCAATGTGGAAGGATTACAAAAGACCATTCATATCAGGAGACAGGGATTAGTAGTGCCATAGTCAAAGCTGCCTACCATAAATTGGCATAGTGTGGCCAAAGAAAGCATCTTAGTGAAGACCTGGAGATGCTGAATGGGTTAGCAAACAGGACCTAGAGGGATGAGCAGCTCTAGTTGATGGAGCAGCTTTGCCCTGGGCACGTCTACGAAATAGTGAAGAATCCAGTGTGGTCGATGCAAGGTTGCAGGAGTTTGAGTCCTAAGGGGTGAATTTATGTGGAAGCGGCATGATAGTTTACAAATGCAGAAGATTCTTCCAGTGATGTGTGTCAGAGATTTCTGAGATGCTAGACACTCATCTCAAGAAGTAGAGAGTGAAAGAAAGAGTATTGGTGATGGGCAGGTGATATGAATGGACTAAAATACAGAAACAAAAATGAGCCAAATTATTATAATCACCAGAATAAATGAAGACATAGCTCCATTAGCTTGTCCAGTGGCGTAAGTGGGAGCTACCTGAATGCCCAGACTGCAGAGGGTAATAACATGGCCATTGCATGAACCTTGTCTTGACACATGCATCTCGTTAACGCAGACACCAGGTCCTGTTTGCTTCTTCTCAGATGCTGCCAACAGACAACTGCAAAGCAAAGGATGATTTCTTGCATAGTAAACAGAAGACTTTCTCCAAATACCCCCCCAAACCAGAATGTGTTCTTTTATCATATATTAGTAAATAATGATCAGTAAGCATCACATCTTTCACATCAGCTTTCACAGCCTTGGACTCTCCTTCCAATAGAAACTTTGATATGACGTCCAAGAAAACTATTCTGAGATGTCTCTTAAAGTTAAAATAAGCTTAAGTAGGTGGTTTTGGTTAGCTTCTAAAGCCAAGCACCCACCTCTTCAGAAAGAAAAAACAAGTTTGTTTATACTCTGAAATGCATTGCCTAAAGGATTTCTGTGTAGTTGAATAAACTTGCATATTTGAATATCAATCTCTTTCTCTCTGCCTTTCTCTCTCTTTCTGTCTCTGTCTTTTTCTCTGTCTCTCTTTCTCCTCAGGGGATTGAATGAACACAAGAGCTACATTCCCAGTTCCTTTTATGTATTTGTTTTTGAATTTTGAGACAGGGCCTCATCAAGTTGCTGAGTTGCCCAAACTGGGCACCAACTCATAATCTTTCTGCCTCAACCTTCTAGAGTTGTGGGACTACAGGCACATACTGTCACACCTGGCTGAGAATTCTTCCTACTGTAATTCTTTAGATTCCATGTACCTTTGGCTTTGTATTTATTTCACTCTATTCAAAATAAGGGGTGAATGAATCTATTTTCTATGTTTGCTTCCAAATGGAAATGATGGGATCAATTTTTTCTTTTTCTTCTCCAGGGTTCCTTATTACAAAATCAATGATTCAGATGCCAAATATACAGCATTTTAATAAAGACATTTTACTATTACTATATTTACTATTAATAAAGATACATGACTATTTTTTAGTTACATTGAATTCACAGTCATTCTTTTGCAAAATTAGTTTTGAAGCGGTCCACAGGTGCAAGTGAAAAATGGAAAAGCTAACTAGTATATGAAAGAATCCCAAATTATATTTACCCAACAACTGTCCACAGGGGTGATTTTCACCTTAATGTATTCCAGAAATATCACAATTCTGATCTCACTCGACTTACATGAGTATAATTTTAAAGAGTTTCCAAATGATTGTACAGCTTTTGAATACAATCCACAAGACTTTTGCTTCCTTCAAATTAAAAATAAACTTTTGGTTTCTCTTTTTTAAAGGTAAGCATATCTTCCAGCAAATTTTAAAAATACATATATATCATTTGGACAAATTTTAATTTTTCATTGGATCTTATTTTAAATCAGAGCTATATACCCCTGCAACCAATAATCCTTTAATGAATCACTCTGTAGCAGAAAATTTGCATACCAAGTTAACAAAAACTTAGTTCGTTCCCTGAATCTGGCAGCAGAAGACAGATCTGTAAATAATTAAGGCGAAGCAATTATGAAGTATCAGGATAACGAAAAGTATGATTAGCACACCAAAAGTTGAACTTTGTTCCAGGAAAGTAACAGAATGATAGCCAAGGTTTTGGCATACTGGTGTTGTCCTGAGTATATTTTTAGAATTTAAAACTTTCATACACTGAAATATTATTTTCACTCTGAACTCTATCACAAGATTTTTCATTATCAGTAAATCACTCCCACAGTTTTTTATTTCTCCCTATGGTTTTATAACCACATTAATTAAAAGTAACAGTTTACAAAGAGGAGAAGGAGAAGGAGGATGAGGATGAGAAAGAAGAGAAAAATGATAAACTAGTTTACTTGACTATGAGACTAGCATGTCTGAAATCTGTAAGGCATGCTAGTAGTGTAGACATTTGAGAAAGAGCTGATCTTTTAGTCTTGAGTCCAAATTTACAGGCCAGGCCAACAGACAGAAACTGAGCAGGGTTTCTCAGTTGAGTTGTAAGGGAGGATTGCGGCTGCTTCATCATAGCTCTTGAGGCTTCTGCTGACTTGGCTGAAGACCACCTACCCATGAGGGCTAATTTGGTTTCCTCAAAGTGTAGCCCTTCAGAGTAGTAAGTTCACCGGTGTGTGAGAAACAACTGGACACCATAGCCTAGCCCAGGTGACACAGAAAATTAAATATCACAAGAAAACAGGACATTTTCATCCATATTTTCTGTTTCTCTCTTTCTCCCTGTCCCTCCTCTAACTTCCTTCCTTCTTTCCTCATTTCTTTCATTCCTTCCTTCTTTAGTTTTTTTTAAATCTGTCTTTCATTTGCAGCAAAGGGGATTGAATCAAAGGCAAAGAGCCACGTATTGAACCTTTAACATTTTAAAACTTTATTTTGGGGTAGAATATCACTAAATTGTGCAAGCTGAGCTCAAATTTGCCAACCTTCTGCTTTAGCTTCCCAGAATTCTAGAATTACAAGTATGTGCCATGAAGTCTAGCTTGAAGTTT